CTTCAAGTAGCCCGGCCCACCCTTGGCCACCGCCCTGCCTGGCAACGCCCCAGCAGCCTCCAGGCGCATGGGGTGGGGCACCTCCACTGCCCAGGACCACTGTGGAGGGCCCCCAACACCTCTGCAAGCCCAGCCAATAGAGGGCTTCATGGAGGCGGCCACCGGCTCCCTACTCCCACCTGCTGTCCTTGAAGCTGTGACACCAGCACCGGCCCCTGCCTGGCCCAGCCCTGCACCTTGCACCCCTGGCTGCCCGCTGCCTGCTGCAGCCCCTCCAGAACCAGCTCCTGCTCCAAATCCCCGCTGCCCCCCTCCCACATCACCCCACATACACCAGCCTCCATGTCCAAGGTCCCCGGGCCCTTCCAGCCCCTTCCTCCATGGGGAAGATCCCAGAGACAACAGCAGTCGTGGGACCGGGTGGTGGGGGGACCAACAGGAGCACCAGGGTGCCCTCAGTCCAGAAGCCTCTCCTCTTGGATCTGCTAGCAGGGCGCAGCTTCTGTTAAGATGAGGGGACCCCCACAGACATGGAGGCAAAACCCAGCCAGGCAAAGAGAGGGGGGCCACTGTGCCCATCTACCTCACGGGCCCACACTCTGCCGGGCACACCGTGGGAGCCTGGACAGGAAGACTCGGGGGGCAGTGACCCCTCCACTCGCTAACACTCTGGGGATCCCAGTGGCCTGTCGGAGGTAGAGCAGTGCGAGAGGAGACCACCACTTCACAGGGGTCATCCCAGAGCGTGCGTTTGCATGCAAGTGTGGGGCAGGATGGGGGAGTGGGCCTGGCTCCACCCCATCCCACCTCCCTTCCCCAAGGGGTGGTCATGCCTCGTCCACCCACGACGGGCCCTGCCTGTCAGGCCTAGCCACCCCTGTGCCCATCACCAGCCAGGTGGCGGCCGAGGTCCTCCCACGTACTTGCTAACGTGTGTGTGTATGTGTGTGTGTCCGTTGCTGTGTTGTGAACTTGAGCGTCACCCAGTCCGAGCCAGTGAACAGCCACCCTGGTTGCCCTTATGCAATTCCCCTGTGCGTCACAACGGCGTCACTGCTTTGTCAACTCAGTCTTTATTTTAAGAAAGCCCTCTTCCCCGACACAGTCCACACAGCTCCATGCACCTGCAGAAATTGTCTTTTTTTTTTTTTTTTTTTTGGCCTTAGAACTTGCAGACACTGGGAGGTCCCAAGCCGGGAGTGGCAGCTGTGGCCTGGGATTGCGTTTGCCTTAGTAGATGTGTCCACAGGTGAATATAAAATGTGCTTTGGGGGGAGGTTTTTGGCTTTATTTTTTTTTTCTCCCTTCTCAAAAAAAAAAAAGCTACGTCTTCATTCGGTGGTACGATTATTTTTTTTAACTAAACTAAGATAAAATTCTATATTTCTATGTGTGTGTGGTTCTTGATGGCTAGTGGGGGAGGGGAGGGGCTGAGCGTGGAGGGCACAGTAGGGGGTTGCCTGGGCACTGAGACAGCTGCGACTGAGGCTGGGGACAATTAGCACACATTAATAACTCGTTTAGCTCAGCCTGCGAGGCGAGGAGGCCCAGAAGGCAACTGGGGCAGCAGGATGCACAGTCCAAGCTTATGGACTGTGCTCTGACCATTAGGCAGCTCTGAGTTTAGAGTGCAGTAGCCAAAAGAATGGCATTAAGGCCAGAGGAATGGATTCTGGATTGATGTACCCCAGAGCTCCCCAAAGGTTCGCTGCCACACCGACACATGAGGTCTGAGGTCTCGGGTGGGCTAGGATGTCAGGGAGCGGTGAGGAGAGACGGACCCCCAGCAGCCTCTGGATGGATCAGACCTATCCAGGCAGTTAGGGATTAGCCTTGCAGCACTGCCTCCCAGTGGCCATGCGTGGTACCAGAGTGCCACACACTGGCCCTGGCAGCATACACCTTGCACGCCACCCAGTGGCCACGATGCCCCTGGAGTGCAGTAGCTTTGGCTAAGCAAACACCTTGCATCCTGGAGGAAAAGGGAATGTGGCACAGCTGCCAGCCTGAGCCCTGCTGGCCAGGCAACAGACAACAGGCCTGGAGCCTGAGTGAAGGCCAGCTGTCCCAGGTCAGGCCTCTTCCCCCAGGCCTCAGGCCATCAGAGGCAGCTGTCCCAAGCCAGGCTCTCCTCCCCCAGGTCTCAGGCCATCAGAGACCCTCAGCCTCATCCTGCACGAGATCCCCTCAGAGGCGGCACATGGAGGACTAGAGTCCCAAAGACATAACACATGAACATTCTTCCCTGACGCCCGCTCTGAAGAAGGCTTCTTCCCACTAAGTGTTAATCCCTTTCCCAAACACCACACCCCCAGACCCGCACAGAACCGTGGGCCCCAAAATCTGGCCCACCTCACCCTCTCAAACTCTTGCATCTGGCTTTGACAAAGAGCCCTGCCTGCCCCTGCACCGCCCCCTCAGGGCCTCAGCCAAGAGGCAACAGCTGCTCCCTGAGTCACCCATCCCAGCGGCCAGGAAACCCAGGCCAGGCAGCGGCACCTGCCTGGTTTCTCAGGCTCACGTCCCGCCCCCTTCCCTCCCAACCTTGGCATTTCTCCTGCTGACACCCCAGGACACCATCTGACCACACCACCCACCTAACCCCTGCCAGGTTACCTGCCGCTGATCTGGCAGCACAGCCTGTACCTGCGAAGACCAGGGACTGTGTAGTCCAGGGCTGTTGGGACAGAGTTTCCAAGGAAGAGATCTTTGCTGGGCCTGCACGCCCTCACCCTCTGTTCTTGGCAACCCCTGGTCCATCTCTCCTGGGAGCACATATTGCCCTGGCTGGCAGGGAGCTCCCCCAGGGCTGAGCATGGGACCTGCACCTAGTAGCACAGGGAATGTGGGAGACCAGATGACTGAATGTTTGCTGTGTCTATGACATACCAGGGCCTAACCTCTGAGCACACAGGACGGTCACTTTTAACTGCACAGCTTTGTCCAATGCTGAGCCCCTCTCTTCTCAAATGAAACTTTCCTCTGTGGTCCCTGCAGCTGTTCCTTCAATCTTTGCTGTCTGTCACCGTTGAGGCCAACAAGGGGAATGGCATCCTCAGAGCAGCTGTCCCCTGCGTGGGGCTGGGCCGGGGCCAGCAGCAGCTGCCTGCCCATTCTCAGCGGCTCCCAGCCGGTCTTCTCCTAGCAGCCCCAGGCCCTGGCCAAAAGTGCCTGCAGTGCTCAGACAGGGCGCTCAGGATCATCCATGGGACCTTGTCCCAGACAATGGAGCAGGACGGGGCCTCTCGCCGGGCATCACAGGCTCAGCGGGCTCAGCCGGCTCAGGGCCGGAGGAGGCCCTTACATGCTATTAATGTGCTCTCCCTTTGAAATCAATGGGAGTGAAATGAAAATGCTTCAGACCACAGCGTGCTCATCTTCTCCCCCACACCATTACGAGGCCTAATTGTGACTACTCTCTGTTGAAGGAAGGGGCCCCGGGAGGCAGAAGGCCCCAGTTACAGGGCAGACTCAACTTCTCAAGGATGGGAACAGGCACCTAGCAGTTCAGGTGCCCAAGTCCCACTTTGCAGGACCTGGGTCCACACCCACCTCTGACCCCTGACCCCAGCTTGCCATGAATGCAGCAGCTATGTCTCCAGGGACGGATTCCTGCCATCCATGTGGGAGACCTGGAGTGAGTTCCCACTCTTGGCTTTGACCTTGGTCCAGGCCGAACCCCAGCCAATTATTATCTTGGGTATTTGGAGAATAAACCAGTGAATGGGCTCACTCGCCTTTTAATGTGCTCTCCCTTACACAGTTTTCACTATTTTTAAAGATATTGAAAACTCATTTTCTATTTACTTGAAAGGTCACAAAAATAGGAAAAGAGACAGTGAGAGAGATCTTCGTCCACTGTTTCACTCAGCAAAGGCTGTAACAGCCAGGGCTGGAGTAAACCAAACCTAGGAATCTGGAGCTTCTTCCAGGTCGCCTACATGGGTACAAGGGACCAAGCACTTGAGCCATGTTCTTCTGCTTGCCCACGTACAGTAACAGGAAGCTGGATCAGAAGTGGAGTAGCCGGGAGCCAAACCAGCATCCATATGGGATGTCAACATCATAGACACAGGCTTAGCCTGCTATGCCACAATACTGACCCCCTTTAAATTTTTTCTCAAAGACTTATTTTCATTGAAAACACATATTTACAGAGAGAAGAGACAGAGAAAAATCTTCCATCTACTGGTTCACTCCCCAAGTGGCCACAATGGCCAGAGCTGAGCTGATCTGAAGTCAGGAGCTTCTTCCAGGTCTTCCACATGGGTGCAGGGTCCCAAGGCTTCGGGCTGTCCTCTACTACTTCCCCAAGCCACAGGCAGGGAGCTGCTTGGATGTGGAGCAATGAGGACAAGAACCATATGGGATCCCATATGGGATCCTAGCGCTTGGAGGTGGAGGATTAGCCATGAACCATTGCTAAATATGTTTTGTTTGTTTGTTTGTTTCGTTTGTTTTTGAGAACTAGATAAAGGAGTCCACAGAGTCCTGGCAGGACAACGCTGTCACCTGCCTTCATGGCCCTGATGGCAAGTCCATCCACGGGAAGAAATTTCAAGAGGAAGACTTCATCCTGAAGCACCAGGTCCCGGCATCTTTTCCTGCCTTCAAGGTCTGGCTCCGGTGCTGCCCAGTTCTGTGGTCCTGGATGGCTACTCCCCTGTCCTCAGTCCTGGCCTCTTCACCTGCAAGAAGCAGGTGGCATCTACTTCCTGTCAGTGGAGGAATTAAAGGAGTTGACGCGGGGGGAGTTGAACATGACTCTTGGCATGTAGTAGGTGCCCAGTTCATGATAACTCAGACTATCAAATTGGCTCAGGATATTTGGCCAGCCCCAGTGCCTGCTGCATTAAACAGTAACCAGCCAAGGTCAAAGGAAGGGTCCTGTCAGAACAGGTTTCTCCCAAGGGGAGGTTCAACCTTGGTCAGATGCACCTGCCTATATAAATGAGGCCCTGCCAGGAGAAGACAGTCAGTGCTGACCACCCACCCGCACCATGCTGGGCATCACCGTCCTCGCCTCACTCCTGGCCTGCGGTAAGCTTCGGGTGGGGACTGACAACAACCATCGGTGAGCTCGGGTTAGCCACCCAGGGACAGGGACAGGAGCAGGGGCCCTCAGCTCTCCAGGAAAGACATTTAGGGTTCAGTGTGGGTTCAGACACTGTTGACTGACAAGGAGTTAGATGTGCCACCTCCCTCTGGCCAACTCTGCTTCCAGCTCCGCAAAGTCGGGCTGCGAAGGCCATGCAAGCATCAGGGACACGGCAGATTCCCCACACTGGGTTCCCTCCACAGCCACTGGGCCATGCCCCTTTTGGCATCTTTGCCCTCTCACCCCTGTCTTAGTGGCATTCTTTCAGAACAGGAACCAAGGGACCTGGCTTAAATGCCATTAGCAGGCCAGTGTTGAGACATCATAGGTAAAAACTATACTACCTATGGCACTGGCATCCCATCTGGGCACCAATTTGTTTCCTGGTTGCACAACTTCCTATCCAGCTTGCTGCTTATGGCCTGGAAAAGCAGCAGAGGATGGCCCAAGCGCTTGGGCCCCTGTACATACACAGGCGATCTGGAGGAAGGCCCTGACTCCTGTGCCATCTGGCCCGGTCCTGGCTGTTACAACCACCCAGGGGAGTGAATTAAAGGACGGAAGATCTCTCTTTGTCTCTCTGGCTCCCTCCCTCTCTGTGACTTTGGCTTTCAAATAAATCTTCTTTTAAAAAAAAATTATTTATTTTTATTGGAAAGTCAGATATACAGAGAGGAGAGACAGAGAGGAAGATCTTCCATCCGATGATTCACTCCCCAAGTGAGCACAACGGCCGATGCTACACCGATCCAAAGCCGGGAGCCAGGAGCTCTTCTGGATCTCCCACGCGGGTGCAGGGTCCCAAAGCCTTGGGCCGTCCTCAACTGCTTTCCCGGGCTACAAGCAGGGAGCTGGTCAGGAAGTGGGGCCACCAGGATTAGAACCGGCACCCATATGGGATCCCAGTGCATTCAAGGTGAGGACTTTAGCCACTAGGCCACAGTGCTGGGCCCTCAAATAAATCTTCAATGTCACTAGCTATGTGGAGAATCCAGACAAGTCACTTTACTTCCCAGATCTGGTGGATTTTTTTGGCCCATGAGAGCACTGGATTAGGAGTCTTTCTTGTTAACAGTAACAATAGCAGCTCTTATGCGTTGCAAGCTTACTCTGTGCTGGACACTGTGGGTAGCTGTTTCTGTGCAGGAACTAATCTGAGCCGCAAAGCAAGCTGGAAAGGTCTGGTTCACAGACAGCAGACCCCACGAGCCCAAAGTTGCATGGCTGGCTGGTGGGAGGGCCGGGACGCGAGCAGAGGGTTGTCCCCTGGGATACATGCTCCCGACCTCTACACACAGCTCCCCAGGTGTGCCAGCTGGGAGCTCACATTTCAGACTCCCCCTCACCAGCCTGCTACGGCCTTAAAAGGTACAGGACACAGGGGTCCCCGGACAGCCACCCTGCACGGAGCCCACTGCCAAACTCTGCAGACCCAAGGTTTCTGCATTTCTTCCTGTTGAGACCCAGGGAACTAGAGAGCTTCGGCCAAAGTCGTACAGCACAGCAGGGACCCAGTTCCCCAGCTCATCCCACTTGTCCCTTCCCCACTCACCTGTGCTCATCCCTCTTGTTTCCCCAGCCTCCAGCTGCGGGGTCCCCAAAGTCCCCCCCAGCCTGTCAGCCAGGGTAGTGGGAGGAGAAGACGCAGTGCCCCACAGCTGGCCCTGGCAGGTGAGTGATCCCCTGGACAGGAGTCAGAGACAGAGGGAGGACGGGGGGAGGTCCTAGGGCCTGGGCACTGAGACTTGGCCCTTCTGCATTCCTGCAGATCTCGCTGCAGTACCTCAAGGATGACACGTGGAGGCACACATGTGGTGGGACCCTCATCTCTGCCAACTACGTTCTCACTGCTGCCCACTGCATCAGGTGACCAAGGACCTGGGAGAGGCAGCCAACCATCACCCCCGAGGCACAGGTCCCACAGTAGCTGCCTTTATTGGGCACCTGCTACACACCGCAGGCACTGAACTCATCTGTAATTCAGCTGTTCATTTATTCAGTCAACTAGCAGATCCTGTGCACCTGCTGTGTGCTACAAAACCTGGCAGTGAAAACAGCCTGAACGCTCAGAAAGCTTGGATTCTTATGCGAGGCAGAGCAACAAACTAATTAATTTATACAGAACAGTGGAAGTTGCAGCAAAGAAAAATGAGACCAAAGAGGGATTTAACTGGGGGTGAGAGAGTAAGCTGACATGCAGAAGCGAGGAGAGGAATTCTAAACGTGAGGAGGAGTATTTGGGGTGCAGAGCAGCTGGTGCACAGGTCGGAGGCTGGGGTGGGGTACGGCTGAGAAATCACCAGGAAGCCACCGTGGCAGGAGTGTGGCAAGGGACAGCAAGAGAGTGACAGAGGCGGCAGGAGGCCTGAGGGCGCAGGTGTGTGGATGCTGAGTGAGGTGGAGCCACGGGGGAGACGGCTGAGCAGACACGACTGGACTGACGTACTCACCTGGCTCTGTTAAGAATAGACCAGGAGGCCACCTGACCCCCTTATCTCCTTCCCTCTGCCCAGCGACACCCTGACCTACCGTGTGGCCCTGGGGAAGAACAGCCTGGTGGTGGAAGACGAGGCCGGTTCCGTGGTCGTGGGGGTGGAGACCATCCACGTCCATGAGAAATGGAACTCTTTCCTGGTGCGGTGAGTGTCCCACGCATCCACCCACCCCGAGGTGTTGGGGGAGGGAGCGGCAGAGCCCACATCCCACCCTTACCCTCACCCTGAGCGGGGACCTGCACACAGGACAGGAAAATGCTAAATGCAGACAGACACCTCTGTGAACCCCTCTCTGGCCAAGGAGTCCCTGGAGGGCTCACAAGAGATAAAACCCCCCCGAGCACCCCTATACAACCAGACATATCACACGGGCGCGCGCACACCACAGGCTGGCCCAGCCACTGGCACAGCTAGGACTCGCCCTCGGGGCTGCCTACTACATGGGCACGTGGTGGCAGGCACTTACACATCAGCCTCTATTGAATCCTCACGGTGGCCTGGATGAGGAACACGCCACAGAGAGATTAAGGAGCTGGACACACAGCCTGTGGCAGAGCTGGGAATCAGCCTGGGGCTGGCCAGGGCAGTTCTGCTGACTCGGATGCCCTGTTTGCTCTTGTTTGCCGCAACCACATCCGGCACACTGGCACTGCCTCCCTGCCGTCCATGTCACCAGCAGGGGCTCGGGATGCTGTCACTCCAGCCTCTCCATTGTTAAGCCTCTTGCCACGGGCGACCATGGTGGCACTGGAAGGCCACGTGTCCTCTGGCAACTCCCTTAGCCAATACACTCCTAGCAGTCAGAACCTTTGTGAACGATGCCCGGCCACCTGGAGCTGACCTGCAGCTCACAGCCGGGACCCCCTTGGCGGCAAACCTATGGGGCGAGGGTCCTTCTGCCCACTCACCCCCTTCACGTTGCATTCCAGCAACGACATTGCGCTCATCAAGCTGGCAGAGCCCGTGCAGCTCAGTGATACCATCCAGGAGGCCTGCCTCCCGGAGGAGGGCTCCGTGCTGCCCCACGACTACCCCTGCTACGTCACCGGCTGGGGCCGCCTTTGGAGTGAGTACAGCCGATGGCAAAGCCGGAGCACCTTCCTCCAGCCCTCACATTTGCCCACCCAGCACCCTTTAAGCCTAAAACAGTTTCCCATCTCTTGACACTTTTGTGATTCTGACAGCTAATATTTATTCAGCCTGTGCCAGGTGACGGATACACTAACAAGTTCATGTAAGGATTAAATGATGAGATTTTATTGAATGATTGAAATGGGGCTTGGCATGCAGCAAGTGCCACATAAAAGAACTAAAATAAATCAATGAGGGTTGGGGGGAGTGTGTCTTACACTATACCATATGCCTAACCAGTTTCCAGCGAAATTAAAAGGTTAAATGCAAATAAGTGAAACGAAGGAAGGCACAGAGGAAAATGCAGATTAATACTCAAAAAGTCTTGGAGCAGGAAAGAGCTTTCCGTGAAAGGCCGAGATCCAGAACGAAATGCTGGGCAAGCAAACCCCAGTTACTTCTAGAGCACTTGGGTTCCTTCTGTCTCTGGCATGCTCGCCCTCCCCTCCCCACCCCGCCTCACCCAACAGCTCAGAACCACCTGCTCCCCTCTTTGTACTGCCCCTACCCACCTGCTTCCTCTCCCTGGCATCTGCGCATCAGGAAGGTCTGGGGCTGGCTGAGCTGAACTGATTGCGCTGGACTGGGCTGGCTGAGCTGGGCTGGGTTGGCTGGGCTGAGCTGGACTGACTGCACTGGACTGGGCTAGCTAGGCTGGGTTGGGCTGGCTCAGCTGGGCTAGCTGGGCTGGGCTAGGCTGGGCTGGGCTGCTAGCTATGCTGGGCTGGGTTAGACTGGGCTGGGCTTGGCTAGCTAGGCTGGGCTGACTGAGCTGGGCTGGCTGTGGGCTGGGCTAGGCTGAACTGGGCTGGACTGACTGAGCTAGGCTGGCTGGGCTGGGCTGGGCTAGCTAGGCTGGGCTGACTGAGCTGGGCTCGCTATGGGCTGGGCTAGCTAGGTTGGGCTGACTGAGCTGAGCTGGCTGTGGGCTAGGCTGGGCTGGGCTGGGCTGACTGAGCTGGGCTGGCTGTGGGCTGGGCTAGGCTGGGCTAGGCTGGGCTGGGACAGCTGAGTTGATTCCCAAGTCACCACCCACTGTCTCCCCAGCCAACGGCCCCATCGCCGATGAGCTACAGCAAGGCCTGCTGCCTGTGGTGGACCATGCCACATGCTCCCGATGGGACTGGTGGAGCTTCATGGTGACAAACAACATGGAGTGCGCAGGAGGCGACGGTGTCATCTCTGCCTGCAACGTGAGTGTGTAGGAGGCCCCCACACCACATGACCAAGGGGTGGGGACTATGGGGACGAGGTGCAGAACAAACCTTTGGCCTGAGAGGTCATGGAGCCAGGCATGGACCCATGGCTTAGGGGAACCCTGTCTCCACTCCCTGCTTCCTCTCCCAGTGCCCCCATCCCTCCCTTCATTGGCTGTGTGGTATTAACCAGGCTGTGCTACCTCTCTGGGCCTTGACTTTTCCATCTGTAAAATGGAGAGCAACCACATCCCAAGGAGGTTGGCAGTACTGCATGAGTTTCAGTGAAGTCCCACGGGTATCCCTTACGCCATCAGCTGCCTCTGCCCAGAGGGACAGAATTCCTGCCATCTGGTGCAGAATCATAGAACAACTAAGGTGAACAGACCCCTCTCCCTTCCCACCTTCCTGGCCTCCAGCAGGCTCTCAGCATCCTTGGGTGTCTGCGCTGTTCCCGGAGCAATAATCAAGGTGACATGATGAGTTAGGGAAACTGAGGCACAGAGAGGGTTAGCACCATCCCATGACACAGCAGTCTGACATGCCATAGCGCAGCCCCACACCATGTCTGCCCACCTCCCTTAGCACCTGCAGGCTAAAGCCAAAGTGAGGGCGCAGCTTGGTTCCAAGTCAAACCCATGCACCTTGCCCCAACCCCTCCCTGCTCCCCAGCCTGGCTGTTGGGGGACAGAGAGGGGAGACCTGACACTGAAGCCCAGCCTCGCCTGGCACAGGGGGACTCGGGTGGCCCACTGAACTGCCAGAATGAGAATGGAATCTGGGAAGTGCGTGGCATCGTCAGCTTTGGCTCCGGCCTGGGCTGCAACACTGCCAAAAAGCCCACGGTCTTCACCCGCGTGTCGGCCTACATCGACTGGATCTGGGAGGTGGGTGCTGTGCCCGACACCTCCACTCCTGGGCCCCGCCTCCGCCCCCCACCCCTCTGTCACTCATCTATTCATGCAGCACGCATACATCCCTCCTTCCTTTGTCTGTGCAGCCCCTCTTCTGTGCGCCCAGTCATGCATTCATTCACTTTCCATGTGTTCTCACGTAGTCATGTAATTCCTCATCTATACACCCATTCAGTCATTGCCATTCACTCCTTCGGGAAGTGCCCATGGGTGCTGACCATGGCAGGCCTTGAGGTGGGTACAAAGAAGCCAGCAGTCGTAAAGGCCTCCACCCGTTCCTTCTGACATCAACACATATACAGTCTTCCCCTGCCATGCCAATTCAGTCACACACATGGTCCCCTGAGGGTGGGGTCTGGCAGAGGAGGGCTTGTGGAGGTCCCTTGTCCCCTGAGAGCTCAGCTGAACTGGGGGCTCTCCCTCTGGCTTCACCCTCGGTCACCTCTGAATACTGGAATGGGGAGGGGCTTCCATCAGCCAGGCAGACACCAGGTTGGCTGGGAGCTGCGGGCCGTGCCCACGCTGGGCCCAGCCTCCCAGCACAGCCCCATAGGGCACCCAGAATCCCTCACACTGTCCTTTGCTCCTGCAGAAAACACAGCTGTGATGCACCCTGGGGAACCTCAGCCACCAAGCCCTGCACCAACAATAAACCTCCTTCCTTCATCCCTCATCCACCTGTGTTCTTCATTTGCAACCCCTTCAGCTCCTGCGGTGCCGCTCCCTACCCCGCAGCAAGTGAAGGACACCCCTCAGCCAGGTCTTACAGGAACTGTAGAGGGCGCTAATGAGGACAGGGGATCCCAGGGGCCCCGTCTGTGCCCACAGGCAGGGATTGAGGATCCGTCAGATGTGTTCCCTCCATCTCAGTAGCCCCAAGTCAGAGTGACACCGATCAGATTGCCAGCTCTCTTGCCTGCATTCCCAAGGAGCCCCTCACCCCACCAACTGCAGAAGGACCCGGGGGTGGGCATCTCTCCAAGGGCAGCCCATGTACTTGACCCTCCAACCCACAGAGGCCAGACCACAGGATACCCAAGGATCAGGGATAACAGCTGGCCTCTGAGGAAGGGGCATCCTGACCTGACTCCTGCAGAGGGGGGTAGTGACGCCTGATGCAAGGAGGGCCACATAGCAGGAGGTTCCCCAGCCACAGAGGGCACAGGATTGGGGAAAGCAAGAGCCTCCATGCAGTCACAGGGGACCAGCCAGATGGGGAAACTGAGGCCCAGGCTGAGGAGAGGGTCAGGCTAGATCATAGAACACCCCACCAGCAGCACCTGCCCCCCTCCCATCCCCACCAGAGACTCACAGACCTGTTAGGATAAGAGGGCTGAAATGAGAGGGACCCGGTACCCAGCAGGAACCTCCCTGACCCCAGGGGCAGCACTCCTGGAAAAAGGCTGAGCCACAGCAGTGCCCTCACCCCAGCCTCTGGCCTCCAGCAGCTACCTCTGGCCAGCGCCCGAGGAGCCCCCATCCCCGTTAGGCTCTAGCACCTGGTAGTGGGGACCAGGAGCACAGAAATGGGGCCCCTTAATCTACCGTCTGCTGGCAGGAAGACTCCAAGTGGCCTCCTGTGGTAATGATGCCCACACTGAGTTTTAAAATTGAAATAGAAGGTTTCCAGGGGGTCCACTGTGGTGACAGAACTGGTACGGTCACCACCTGGGATGCTGGCATCTCCTAAGTGCCTGTTCATGTCCTGGCTGCTTTGCCTCCAACCCAGCTCCCTGCAACGGCCTGGGAAAAGCGGGGAAAGATGGCCTAAGTGTTTGAGTCGCTGGCTTCCGGCATTGGCTGGGCTCAGCCTTAGCCATTGTGGCCACCTGAGAAATGAACCAGTGGACGAAATATTTCTGTATCACTCCCCACTCTGCCACCCCATAGCTCTAACTTTCAAATAAATACGTACATAAATAAAAGAAGGTTCCCAGGGACATAGGTACTGATCCAAACATCATTTCCGCACCTTCCTTCCCAGCCATCTCTCTGGAACACGGGTTGCAAATTCCAAACAGGTCCTTTGCTGTCCCCAGGCACCTCGCAGTGATGGAGCTGCTGTTCCAAGGGCTGCTCTGGCAGGCACGGCAAAGTCACAGGTGCCTGTCACAAAGCACTATAGGCATGGCCCTATAGGGCTTTTGTTGATCAGAGTGCCCAAGCCTGGCCCTGGGAAGTAGTTGTTGAATTCCCTCCTAGTTTGCAGCTGAGAAGACTTAAGCCAGGGTGGGTCAGTGCCCTCCCAGGGGGCTTATGTGCAAGGGCATGGGGCCAAAATCCAGAGCCCATGTGCAGGGGTTTAGGCTGAAACGTGACCACAGCGGTCAGGTGTATGCATGGCCACGTTGGCTAAATTGGAGCAGGCAAGAGTAGGGATCGGGAGGCCAGGAAGATGGCCACTGCAAGGGTCCAGACCATGAAGCGGCCCATACAGGGGCATTAACAGAAAGGAAAAAAAGGAGATTTTTGAAGATTTATTTTATTTATTTGCAAGGCAGAATTACACAGAAAGAGATCTTCCACATGCTGGTTCACTCCCCAGTTGGCGCAACAGTTGGCGCTGAGCCTGGATAAAGGAGCCAGGAACTCACCCATGAGTGCAGAGGTCCAAGCACTTGAATCACCTTCTGCCATCTTCCCAGGTGCTTGAGCAGGGAGCTGGTAGGGAAGTGGAGCAGTCAGGACTCAAACCAGCACCCCTGCGGGACCTGCACCACAGGCCGAGACCTCACCCTCTGCACCACGGTGCCGTCTGAACAGCAAACCTCCAGCCTCCAGCCTGTTGGGAAACGGTTGGGAATGAGCCAGGATTATCCACACTGCTCTCTACTCACACATATTGACTGAAACATGAGTCATTGTTCTGTTTGCAACAACACTGATCAGTTTTCAGGCTTAGACAAGAACTCAACGACATGGCCAAGAGTCAGTGTCTGTTGCCAGCCATATCTGTATGTACTGGCTACATGCCGTACCCAAAATGGCGCCGGCCAGAAAAGCCACATCTTGGTGTTGGGTGCAGAGTCACGTAGCATTCACTGTACTGCGCAGGCGCCTAGCGCATGCGCAGTGAGCTGCGGCGCGGCAGGCACGTAAACACTGGGACTGACGAATCCAGTCGCCCAGAACCCTGCGTAATCATGACGCCGACCTATCATCGGCGGAGGCGGGGCCAGACAGCACATAAGAGCAGAAAACCTGCCGGGGTTCGGCGTCCCTCCTCTTCATGTTGGTGTGCACAATAAATTTTACCGCAGGAGGCTTCACTCGCGTCTGCGTCTTATTGCTGGGCGGTAAGACACGTGGGCGCGACAACTGGTGCCGGGAACCCGGGACTTGGAGGGGGCCTCCCGTTTTGAACGGGACGAAGTCAGAACTGCGGCCAAAAGACAGGTAAGGAGCTCTGAGAGGGAGAACTTTCGGGTGACTAGGAGCATAAATCGGAGGTATATGAGCCGCCGCTTCTGGTTATAGACATGGGCGCACAAGTCTCTCTGGTGAAATTTTTGCAGATGGTTTATGCCCCCCATAAGGGAGCGGTCAGAGAGAGTGACGAAGCCCTTCAGTCTGCCCAGGATAGTCTCTCAGAAACAGAGCGGGAGAGGAGAACCGGTTTGAAGCAAAAAATAAAGGTGAAACTTAAAGCAGTATCTTCCTCATCAAGTTCGGAGACTTCCGACGCTGAGGAAGGGTATAAGTGGGATAGGCGCTTAGAACGTAAACCTGCAGGAAATAGACAAGGATTAGAAAAGGAGAAGAAAGATAATGGCGGTGCTACTGCGCCGGCCACGCGCGGCCCATGGCCTCAGGACTCTGGAGCCATTTCATCAATGGCTCCTCCTCCTGTGACGCCATCTGCCCCGCCCATGAGTTATGGTGCCGGCTCTTCCTTCATCGATGCAGCCGCGCGCCGGGAACTTCAAGATATGTTCCCCGTCTTAGAAGAAGAAAGGGAAAGAGTTCACAGACAGGTAGATGCAGCATTAGTGCGAGAATTGGCCATGTCTGTAAAGCAATATGGTCTTCACGCCAATTATACTTTGTCCCTGTTAGAACGTATGGGGGGAATGAATATGACTCCCTCTGATTGGCAATTTGTGGTGAAGGCTGTTCTCCCTAATATCGGATCATATCTAAATTGGAAGAGCCTATGGCAAGAGCTTTTGGCTGAGACCGCCCGGGCAAACCAACAGCGCGGCGGTGATGCTTTGACCTGGACTTATAATATGCTTTCCGGACAAGGCCAATACTCTGATGATCAAAATAGATATCCATGGCCAGTGTATACCCAGATCTCTACTGCAGCTATAAAGGCTTGGAAGGCCCTTTCACTTAAAGGGCAAGAGAAACTGGGCATTACACAGGTTAAGCAGGAGCCAGATGAGCCCTTTGCTGATTTTGTGGCACGCGTAATGCAGGCCGTGGAAAGGACCTTTGGAGAGGGAGATCAGAACACTAAAATGGAAGAGCAGATAATTTGGGAGCAGTGTAATGCAGAATGTAGAGCCCTACTCAAGGATCGTAAGTCCAAGGGAATTTCAGATTGGCTAAAGGTTTGTAGGGATACAGGAGGCCCCTTAACAGCTCATGGACTAGCAGCCGCCATTTTGAGGTCTAATCATAGGGAGAGAACATCACCTGTGTGCTTTCAGTGTGGTAAACCAGGACATATGAAAAGGGAATGCCGTGCAGGGCCTAGCAATAAGCCTCCTGGGATGTGCCCACGGTGCCGCAAAGGTAGACATTGGGCCAATGAGTGCAAGTCAGTGAGGGACATAGAAGGACGCCCTCTCTCGAGCCAGGAGTCAAAAAACGGGAGATGGGGACCGAAGGCCCAGGTCCCCTCGACCGATCGGGCACTCTTCCGTCAGGCACGAGGGAACCCCGCCAGGAGCGACACCCTGCAAGCCTGGACCTCTGTGCCACCACCGGAGTCCTCTTAAAACCAGAGGACGGCATTACACCGGTACCGGTCATCTTAACAGACACGGTACCACCCGGTGCAGTCGGGCTTGTGATAGGCCGAGCAGCCTTGAGCTCTCAAGGTTTTATTGTAACACCTGGAATTTTACATCCGGAAGCTAGCTCTTTTTCAGTGCTGTGCTCAGTTGCACGAGGTGTTTTTGCTGTTGCGCCAGGTGATCCTATAGCCCAACTCATATTTTTACCAGCTTTAATTAGTGCAGACAAGACTGTCCAGACCCGAGTAGAGGTTCCTTATATAAATTTAATGATGGATATGGTCGATAGACCCATGCTTGAGTTGCAAATAGAGAATAGACCGTTTATGGGGCTTTTAGACACAGGAGCTGATAAGAGCATCATAACCTCCAAGTATTGGCCGCGTGATTGGCCTTTGATTCAAACTTCTCACAGCCTACGCGGTCTGGGGTTTGAACAAGCTCCATCCCAAAGTGCCAGAGCCCTACAGTGGAAGGATAAGGAAGGCAATTGCGGGACAGTCACACCCTATGTCCTGAACCTACCGGTTTGCCTTTGGGGAAGAGATATTCTTAAACAGATGGGGATACGACTAGTCTCCAATGCCTCCGGTTATTCTGAAGTCTCTCAAAAGTTGATGGATAAAATAGGCTATATTCAAGG